CCCGTGAAAGTACAAGAAGCATACCGAACCCCAAATAGGCTGGACCAAAGAAAAAAGACCCCTCGACATATAATAATCAAAACAACTAGCATACAGAATAAAGAAAGAATATTAAGAGCAGCGAAGGAAAAAGGACAGGTAACATATAAAGGCAGACCTATCAAAATTACACCTGACTTCTCCATGGAAACCCTCAAGGCCAGAAGGTCCTGGATAGATGTTCTACAAGTATTAAGAGACCACAGATGCCAGCCCAGGATACTTTATCCAGCAAAACTCTCAATCACTATAGATGGAGAAAACAAGATATTTAATGAAAAAACCATATTTTCCCAATACGTATCTACAAATCCAGCCCTACAGAATATATTGGAAGGAAAGCTCCAACCCAAGGAAGGTAAGTAACTACGCCCACAAAAATGTAGGCAACAGATAATCCAACTACACCAGAAACCAAGGGTAAAGCAGAACTAATATATTCACAATACCACTGCCAACAACAAACCTAAATCAAACAAGCATTAACAATTAATGGTCCTTACCCTCAACATTATTGGTCTTAACTCACCTATAAAAAGACACAGGCTAACAGAATGGATATGAAGACAGAATCCTTCTGCTGCATACAAGAAACACATCTAAGCTTCAAAGATAGACATTACCTCAGGGTAAAGGGTTGGGAAAAGATTTTCCAATCAAATGGAAATAAGAAGCAAGCAAGCATGGCTATCCTAATACCTAACAAGTTAGACTTCAAACCAAAATTAATCAAAAGAGATAAAGAGGGTCATTTCATATTCATCGCAGGAGAAATCCATCAACACAAAGACTCAGTTCTGAACATCTATGCTGCAAATACAAAGGCACCCACATGTGTAAAAGAAATGCTACTAAAACTCAAAGCTCATATAAACCTCACAAACTTATAGTGGGAGACTTCAATACTCCACTCTTAACACTAGACAGGACCACAAATCAGAAACTCAACAATGAAACAAAAGAACTAACAGAAGTTATGTCTCAGCTAGGGTTAACAGACATCTATAGAACATTCCACCCAAAGACAAAAGAATATAACTTCTTCTCTGCTCCACATGGAACCTTCTCTAAAATCGACCACATACTAGGTGGCATAACAAACCTCAACAGATACAAGAGAATAGGAATAGTCTCCTGTATCTTATTGCTTTAAAATTGGAATTCAACAACAACACAAATAGCAGAAAACCTGCAAACTCAAGGAAACTGAACAATGTGCAATTGCACCACTCCTGGGTCAAAGAAGAAATAAAGAAAGAAATTATGAACTTTCTAATATTCAATGACAATGAGGACACAACATACCCGAACTTATGGGACACCTTGAAAGCAGTGCTACGAGGGAAGTTCATTGCACTAAGTGCCCATATGAAGAAAACAGAGGATAGTCACATAAGAGAATTAACAGCGCAACTGAAAGCCTTAGAACAGAGAGAAGCGAATTCACCCTGTAGGAGTAGATGCCAGGAAATAATCAACTTGAGGGCTGAAATCAACAAAATAGCAACCAGGAAAACAATACAAAAAAAATCAAAGCAATGAAGAGTTGGTTTTGTGAGAAAATCATCAAGATAGACAAACCTTTGTCCAAATTAACGAAAAAGCAGAGAGAGAACATGCAAATTAACAAAATCAGAAATGAAAAGGGGAACATAACGACAGTCACAGAGGAAATCCAGACAATTTTCAGGTCATACTTTGAAAATCTGTATTCCACAAAAATTGAAAATTCAAAGGAAATGGACAAATTTCTGGATACCTATTACTTACCAAAATTAAATCAAGAACAGACAAACAACTTAAATAGACCTATAACCCGCAATGAAATAGAAGCAGTCATCGAAAGCCTTCCAACCAAAAAAAGTCCAGGGCCAGATGGATCCAGTGCAGAATTCTACCAGGCATTCAAGGAAGAACTAATACCACTACTCTTTAAACTGTTCCACAAAATAGAAACAGAAGGTTCATTGCCAAACTCTTTTTATGAGGCCACAAAAACCTTGGTACCCAAGCCTCACAAAGACACAACTAAGAAAGAAAACTACAGACCAAGAAACTAGTCAACAAAACACCAAATAACCCTACTAAAAAAAATGGGGTACAGAACTGAAGAAAGAATTCTCAATAGAGGAAATCAAAAAGGCTGAAAGACACTTAAGAAAGTGCTCCACATCCTTAGCTAACAGGGAAATGCAAATCAAAACAACTTTCAGATACCATCTTACTCCTGACAGAATGGCTAAAATTACAAACACCAATGATGACTCAGGCTGGAGAGGATATTGAGAAAGGGGAACACTCCTCCTCTGCTGGTGGGAGTGCAAACTCATATAGCCATTTTGGAGATCAATATGGCAGTTCCTCAGGAAAATGGGAATTAGTTTACCACAGGACCCGGCAATCCCCCTCTTAGGCATATACCCAAATGATCCACATCCATGCAACACAGACATCTTTCAACTATGTTCATAGCAGCACTATTTGTAATAGCAAGAACCTGGAAGCAACCTAGATGCCCCTCAATTGAAGAATGGTTAATGAAGATGTGGCACATCTACACAGTGGAATACTACTCTGCAGAAAAAAATAATGGTATCTTGAAATTTGCAGGCAAGTGGATGGCACTTGAAGAAATCATCCTGAATGAGGTAACCCAGTCACAAAAAGAGGAACGTAGTATGTACTCACTCATATATGGATTTTAGACCTAGATCAAAGGATCACCAGCCTGTAATTCACACCACCAGAGGAACTAGGATACAAAAGATTCATATAAAGTTCCTCACAGAACTGGGAAGGGACAAGTCCCCCAGAGCACAGGGGAAGTGGGGGGGGCAGCAAATGGAGAGAGAAGTAGGAGAAAACGAGGGGGAGGAAAGGAAAACACCTGTGACTAGGAAGATTGAGCCCATTTAGGAATAGAAGACAGGAGAGGGAGAGAGAGAGAGAGAGAGAGAGAGAGAGAGAGAGAGAGAGAGAGAGAGAGAGAGAGAGAGAGAGAGAACATAAAAGAAGGAGCAAATATTGGTTTGAAGATAAAATTGAACACAAAGAAAGGTCTAGAGAACTACAAGACTGCTGCCAAATAACAATTTGAGCATCCGTGGATAAGCTACCATAAATGCCCTTCCAGGAGAATGAGATCAACAACTAAATTATCCATGGAGCCCTCATCTAATACTTGTTGGAAACAGGAGCAAACACCCATACATAAACACTGAGTGGAACTAGAACCCAGATGCAGATGGAGAGGACAAGACCAGGAGGCAGAAACACATAGAGACATATTACCTGAACAAGGAGGAGCTAAAGGCCCCAAGACTGAGAGCTGGGAAGCCAGCATGGGACTGACTCAGGCCCCCCTGCATATGGGTCTTAGCCAGAAGGACTGAGCAGTCTAAGGGACCTCAGACAGTGGAGCCAGGATGTATCCCTGGTGCACAAAAGGACCTTGCAAACACATCCCCCATGGAGGGATAACTGCCTTAACCTAGAGACAGGAGAGAATCCCTAGTCCCTACTTCACATGACCTGTCAGATCTACGTGACCCCAACTGGATGGCATTCCCCTACATATGGAATTGGGGTGGGGGGATGGGAGGGGAGGGTGGTTAGAGTGCTTGTGAGAGGGCAGAGAGGGTAAGGAGGGAGGGAGGGAGGGAGGGAGGGAGGGAGGGAGAGAGGTAGGGAGAGAGAACTGCAATCGACATGTAAAATAATAAATTAAATTAAAAAAAAAATGCTGTGACTCCAAAATTTAATTTCAAGGACAAGTTACTGGGGAAAATGATTTCTATTTTTGTTTCCACAGAAAATGAAAAGCTGTGGATTCCTTCCAGACTAGTGTGGTTTGATCAAGCCAGACCGCCTGAAATAGAGTACCAGGTGATCCTACATTCAAAACAGCTGGACAAAGCAGCTTTGTAGACTACAGCCAGGATTTCGGCATCTTCTTAGAATTCCCCATGACAGTGCCCCTTACCAGCAGGAAGTAGTTTGGAAAGAACGATGCCAAAATTCCCAAATATTGTCTATAAATATCTGTTTTCATTTAAATGGACTTGGTTTAAAAAAAAAAAAAAAAAGCCTGAAATGGGATTTGCCTTCAAAGACAAAAAAAAAAAAAAAAAAAAAAAAAAGAAGAAACCAGAATGTATCACTCCTTTTGTCTTCACTAAACGTTTTCCCAAATGATTTATACATGACACATGACATACACTTCCTACCTTCCTCTTCTCCGATTACAATGTTCTTGCTTCTTTGACCCACTGTCATGGATAAATGAGCCTCATCTTTTGGTTGAAGATGTTTTAATATATGCTGTAAGATAAATGACAGCAATGATTTGCATGGATATTTACTCATTACTTTATGGCTACAATCTAAATTTTCCACTTTATAAGTATGTATTCTTGAAAATAAGAGAAGTGTATATTGCAAACTTAAAACCAAACAGAATAGAGAAAATCACATGTGCTGCCTAGATCAAGTTTGTTTTTAATTTCATTGGATGACTTTGTAAAATGACAATAGAATGAAGGAATAGAATACATAATTATTATTTATAACCTATAATTGGAGAACACTTAAAACATACATGTGGATTATTAATTTCACTTGCTTTTCTACAGCAATAAGTATCTAGAGAAATTCCAGTGACTCAATTGTTTTATTAGCAAAAACACATGTTATAAAAAACTACATAACATAGCAAAGGAAATTCAAAGAATAATGAACACATCCCAGAATAACATTTAATTAACTATCTACTATATGTAGTGTCTAAATTCAAATTTTTACAACTAGTTAATTTCATACTAATCAAATATTCCTAAAATTAAATTTTTGTATTGTCTATTAATTATATAGAACATCTTTAAACTAAAATATAAATTCATTTAGCCTATGATGAATTATTTACTAAAATATTATTATAAAAATAAAATTGAATATTTACATACAACTGACTGAATATTTTCATAGCCATGACTTCTTTGCTTTTCCTTTGATTCCATTTGTAAGTCTTCTTCTGACAACACATAAATATATGTACTTAAAGGATGAAAACCATTTAGATAGTGAGACTTTATAATAAAAGGCAAAATATTTAGTGAGTAATATAACAAAAGCAGACACAGTAGGTTATTTCTATATAGTATATATTTATGCATGTAAGATATATATGTATATATACATTTATGTGTATAAAAATATTAATAACAAAGAGAGCATCAACTTGAGAAAGAGTAGAAGGGGACATGGAAGAGGTTAGAAGAGTTGGAGGGAGAAAATGAACTGGATGAAGTAATATAACTGCATTTTAATTTAATATATTAATAAAGATAATAAAAATAATAAAAATTAAAATTTTACTGTCTCAATTAAATATTCCAATTAAATTTAATTTTTAGTGTGACATTCACTGATTTAGAAAATACATGTAGTTATCAAGACATTTCCTACAAATTGCTATCTCAATATTTAAATGTCTACTTCTTGCATATAACAAGCTCACCAAAAAATAGTACCAATGGAATAGAGTTTAGTATACCATTAAAGAATGAGAAAAGCATGGGAGGGAGCACTAGGGAAAAAATAGGTAAATAAACACACAAGCCAACAGAGAACTTTAATTACAAATGAATCAGAAGAAAAGGAGCCAGGTAGGGGGAAAGGAGAGAAGAGAAGTACACTGTATGAGTATCTGAGTTTAGATTTGCTACTGGCTGTAACTATTCTAGAACATAATTGAAAATCTTCTGTAAAATAGACTGTTAGTGTTATACCACAGGAAAAATATAGATTAGCACATCATATGGACACCTGCTATAGATAAGACACCATGATGGCCAAGGATTGCTGAAGCTTGTAGTATAGAAATTACATAAATTTCACCCAGCGTACAATGTGTCCAGCCTGAATTAAAAAGTACACCTGTCTTATTTTTAATAATTTTTTAATTTAAATTTGAAACAAGCTTGTTTTACATGTCAATCCCAGTTCCTGCACCCTCCCATCCTCCCCTGTCTCCCCACCAACCCATCCCCTTTCTGCTCCCTAGGGAGGGTGAGGCCTTCCATGGGGAGTAGTCAAAGTCTGTCAAATCATTTAGAGCAGAGCCTAGGCCCTCCCCCCATTTGTCTAGGCTGAGGGAGTATCCCTCTATGTGGGATGGGCTCCCAAAATCCATTCCTATACTAGGGATAAATATTGATCCACTTTTAAAACACAGTTTCTTTGTGTGTAATTTGAGATCACTCAAAACTCCTATGCATGAGAAATCTGTGTGTTGGCCCACCAAGAAGCTGACTATATACGCTTGAAATTAATGTTTGAGGAAACATCATTAGTCTTTTTTAAAGTGAATTTTTAAAATTAAACTCCCAAAGGAATCAACAAGAGTGATATATCACAGGACCAAGCTCCCTCCTACCCACCCTCAACCCTGGCATCAACTTAATGTGCTATCCTTTCTGAGGAGTGGATGAGAGGGTAGAAAGGAGGTAGGGGAGGAAATGGGGGAGAGGAGGGAGGTGAAGCTGTGATTGCTATGTAAAATAAATTAAAATTTTGATAAAAATTAAAATAAATAAAAGTTAAACTCCAGTAAAATATAAGAAACACTGGGATTCCAATATGGGACTATGGACATACTAATGTCTAAAAGTTGGAACACTTGAGTTATAGCTAACAATTAGAGAAACTTTGTCTTAAACTCCCAAGTAGCTTGCTATGGAAAAATGATATTTGAATTATTTACACAAAATGCTTCCATCAAATTTGAAGAGTGAAAGGATTTGGAGTCAGAGACTGATCATGTCAAATACTCAGAAGCACTTGTTAAAGAGAAATTCCTATATCTAAATTTACCTGCTGTGAATATTTCATGCTTCATTGTTGGATCTTCAATTGGTGCAGAATCTTGCTCTTCAGTGGTAGTCTGCGTGGGTGTGAAAGGCGGTATTTAATGTTTGTGTATGTCATATATTGGGAACTTAATGACACACACTAAAATGTAAATATTTTTACCTTCAATTCCGTATGCTCATCAGAAGAGTCTGAAAAGTGAGAGACATGTAGCTAATTATATATTAACATAGCAAAGTCAATCAGAATTTCACGCTGAATTAATGATCACTGGGAATATTTCCCTTAAGACTGGGATTCAATTTGTTTTCACTTTGCTAGTTCTGCCTGATAAGGACAGAAACAGAGCTGAAATGAATGTTGCTAAGATGAAAAGACATATACCAATATGATATTCAAAATTAATTGGAAGTAAACTGTCCATTATCCTATGGAATGCTATGGTTTCACTATGGTATTTGTAATTTAGCAAAATCAGTCATAAATTTTCACTGGAATGGATAAATTGTCTTCCAAAAATTATTTCAAAGTAATCATCTTGGATGTTTACTTGTAGAATACTAAAGCATAATACATGCATTTGGGGGATATTGTTAATTTATTTCATTTCCTTTAGTTTATAAGAATTTAGTAAACACTTTGTAGAAGGTATACAGCCTAAGCTATAACATAAAGCCTATGTTTTTGCCTCTACTGTACAACTGTCACAATAAAATATGTCCTTTTTTTCAAAATCATTTTGAAATTACTAAATTTCTACATTGGAAATCAGGGTAACATTTACTAGAAAGTATAACTGATATAAGTAAAGGAATGATATACAGATAATTTTTCTATAATTGCATTGGCTGCACATAATGTGAATTTTCTAATGTCTTTCAACATACAACAAATTACTAAGAACCTAACTATCCTGTCAAAACAACTGAAGCTGCTACTTTCCAGCGTATGGCACTGACTTTAAGGGAATCCCAAGTTTTGCATGTGTCACATGATGGACAAGGGAACTGAGAGGCTGAACTTCACTGCTTTTTCCTACTATATCTTCCCCCAGTGATGAGTCTGATTTCAACAAAAATGTAGCAAAACGTTCTTCAAAATATTCTTTATCATTTCCTCATCATCAGTCCCAAGTTTTCACTCTATTTCTGTCTTTCTTCTTCTCCCATAGGCAATGCTTCATTTTTAAAATGGTTTGCAGGATGCTGTCCTTAACAATGTCCATTTGTTTCCCTTAAAGACTTGATCTGAAAGATTTTCCCTTTTTGTGTTCCTTTCTCTGTAGACAGAAGCATTATTAGGATCGATGGCGGATTTGTACTTTCCTCTGTCATTATACATATCCTCAGTGGTTGACCACTGAGGCTTTCTTGTGTTCTAAGTTTCCTTTAAGAGAATCACATAGACAACATCTGCATCCCTTGGGAACTAACAAGCACATAATGCAAGAGCTGCTGGATCAGGACGTGAGCTTTATACATGGGTCACAGCAGCCTGTTCATAGACATTTGAGAGGCTCAAGTCAATAAGGAGTCCCCTCTGGATTTGTATAAAATAACTATGTTTTGAGACCCAGCCTATGTTTTTTTCTATAATCTCTCTCAAACAGAAAAGCCATAATTAGTCCTGTCAACTGTGATCTGTTAGTGGCATTCTTGACCATGTCACGGCTAATTCCATGTTCTCATTTTGGCCTATATGAAAGTATCTTGGCAAGTTTGAACACTTGCCCATGACATTAGCTCATGTGTATGTACATGTACAGGTGGGCATAGATGTTTACATTTATCTTCTATAAATGAAAACTAGCTCTATATAGCCTAGTGATGCAGTCCTTCTATGCCTTCCCCGAAGTGAGGAGGACATGAAGTGTGGGGGCGGTTTACTTTGCTTCTCAGTCATGATGCAATATTACCAGTTCCCACTCTACCCTTCCCGCCTCTATCTTGAACAGCCTTTCATTCCCTTAACATCTTGTTTCCACAAGCTCCACTGTATGCCCCTCCCTCATTCTCCTTGTTTTACTTCTCCACAGGCTCTGCCTTTTTAAGCCTCATTCTTTTCCCTCATTTCCTAATATACCTCACTTAGAAACCCACATATTTGAAGTAATACTTAGACTCCCTCAGTGAGTCTCCTCATTTAAAGAGACACTATGCAAACATTCCATAGGTAGTTTCCAGTAGTGAGGGGAATTTCTCAATCCCCCTGTTTTATAAACACCACTCTTACATGTCATCTGAGCAGCATCTGCATTGTCCCCTCCTTGTTTGGTCTCCACACATACCCGAACACTCCACTTGGGTTGAAATTGCTCCAGGATGTGCTGTTGAATTTGATATTATAATGGATTAAATAAATTTTTCCACCCCCAAAATTTCTCAATTTATTCTTTTAAAAGCAAGAATATTTTAAAAAGTATTTAAAAGAAACAGAATTCAAAGGAAATCCTCATATATGCTCTCCAAATAAATTTTACCTTCACCGTATTTCTGGCTACATAAATCAACCATAACAGTCAAATGGCCCCATATGCATATGTATATGGACAACAATAATTGAACTCATGATTTTACTAAAAACAACAACAATAGCACATGAAGTTGAGAGAGGTACATGATACAGAGGAGCCGAAGGGAGGGAGATGCTGCGGTAAATATGATCAAAATACATTGTATGTATTTATGAAATTCACAACAAATAAGTAAACATGTTTATAAACAGAGCAGAATCAATATGCATATTTACATGATAAACCTTACAATTCCTATCTGCAGTTCCCCTCAAAAAAATCTGAGCATTTTTGAAAATATGTATTTAAACACATTCTCATACTCAAAGACAGAATTACATCTTTAGAATTTTAAGGACAGAAATGCTTTTTGTTGAAAGAAGAAATGTAGACGAGAACGAGATTATACCATGCAGTGCTGAGATTTCCTTTAGTGATTTATTAAGTTTGAAATATTTTAGGAGATTTATTTTACTAAAAAAACAGATTGCAAGGAAAGACCTAGCCATGAGGAAAATCTTTCCTTAGGTTATAGTTAAATAAAAACATGCAAATATTAGGTATCATATGAAAGTCTTCCCCATTGAGCATTTCAAAGAGTGTGATGGGGAGTGAGGGCTACATTATCTGTGCATATCTGTGTATAGATTAAACTTAGACATTATGCTGGGCTAGTAAAGTGGGAGTACACCATCTCCTCCAAGGTCAATTCCACATAGAAGGACACTCTCTCAGCCTAGACACACAGGGAAGGCATAGGCCCTGCCCCAAATGATGTGACAGACTTTCAAGATCCCCCATGGAAGACCTCACCTTCCTGGGGAGCAGAAAGGGGATAGGATAGGAGGATGATGGGGGGGAGAGGAAGAGGGAGGGGCAGGGAACTGGGATTGAAATGTAAAACAAGCTTGTTTCTAATTTAAATTTTAAAAATACAAAAAAAAATAGAAACAAAAAAAAGGAAGACTCCCCCACCCACTTACACTCTCTCTCTCCCACTGTTCCCCTGGAGCAGATAGGACTCTTCCTGTCTCTCTCTTCTCTCTGTCCACTTTCTCTCTCTCTCTCTCTGTCTCTTTACCTCTTTTCTCTTTCCTCCCCCACTTCCCTTTCTAATAAGACTTCCCACTAAGCTCTGTCTGCCTGGCATGTTTGTCCCCCCACCTCAGTAACTCTTGTGCCAGCCATGGAATCTGCCAAGGCCCGCCCCCATGCTTTATCATAACAACAACAATAATAATAAATAATTAAAGAAAAGAAAGTCTTTCAGGCAACAAAGATGGCTAAGTGGGTAAAAGTACATGTCATGCAAGAATGAGGAACAGAACCCACTTAAAAAGCACAGTAGTACTATTTATGCTTTGCACCACTAAAGAAACCCTGACTCACTAACACGCATACTGTTATATGTATGCTCATGTTCACATACATGAATGTGTGCTTAAACATTATTCGTGTATATACATGCAATACACAGACACATAGAGATCCACATACAGATGACCCTCACTGAATTTAGATTTCAAGTCTCACTCTCATCCCCATGCTAAACATAAACCTCAGCAGTCTTTTCTGTGATGACATCATCTCTGATTTTTATGTAAAGCAATCACAGCCATTTGACACCTGTTTTGTTGCTCTTGAATTATATAGCATAATACCCTAATCTCCTCTATTTGGTAAATGAAAGTTTATCAAGATCATAGCAACCAAAGTTTCACATGAAGGAATCCAGCAGCAGTTTCTGTGTTTAAATAACATGTTACTATTTGGAAAAAGTGACAAAGACTAGACTCAGAAAATTTTCATTCTAATCCTAGCGAGTGGGGATCTTTGTATGACCCTATTGTCTCACACACTGGGTATATTAAATACAACCACACTGAAAGAATTAAATAAATCTATTTGGGGACAACAATGTCCAGTAATGGGAAATCTCAAATTTTTAATTAAATGGAAATGACAGTGATTTCACATTGTGTCCAGAGGTGATAATATACATACTGTTAATAACTTAAACATTTTAGTGGTAAGTCAAACCTAATCTACCTTGTAAATATGAAATGAGGTTATGGGATTAGACAAAAAACAGAAATGAAATAGTGTGAAAAGCTACTAAGAATAAGAGATGGAAAAAAAGAGTAAGAGGTGGGCATTAGTCACTACAGATGTTTAAAAGATGACTTACTGGGAAATAGCTTTCAAAGTGTCAAATTAAATATTAAATTACTTTCCAGTGATTCTCTAGGTCAGTCCACAAAGTAACTGGACCTGGATTGTGGTCATTTTCTTAACCAAAGAAAACAATATAAAAGAATTTTTCATATTCACATACCAACCGTGGCTTTTCACTGCCATGACATCCTGTTTGCTCTTCTGTTGGAGATAATAGAGAGGATTCTATTGAAAAATTCATACAAGTGGTTAAAATTAACAATGTGAGTAGTCAGGGAAAAGAAATGGTCATCTATATAAACAGTCATTTAAAAACCTTTAGAATGAAGCAAAAGAAAAAAAAAGCTGGGCTTTAATGTAACAATTAAACATTTCAATTAAATTTAACATTCAACTGGATATTTATTTACTTGTTTAGGAAATGTGTACAACTATCAAGAATTCCATATACAAAACAGACACACAGTAAGAAGCACCTTAATGTTATGCACATGTCAAAGATGCACACATAAGTTATCTCAGTAAACAGAAATGAACACACACATAGAAACAGAATTGATAATTGCGTGGAATCACAGAACATCACATTGCACATTATTTCTACCTGGGAAGGAGACTATGTCAAAAATCCACTTTCTTACTTACAATTTCTGACATCTCATTATGCAGATACCTTCTTACTCATTTTGCAAATGTGTGTCTCTAGTACTTTGACATGCCTCTTCATTCTCATAAAAGTCAGCAAAGGATATGAGATCTTCCTGGACTCACACTCTCCAGGTCAACGTGTGCTTTGCTCCGAACTGCCTTAGAGTTTCATTCTTTTTCAAATGTCTCCTCCCCATTTGAAGTGCCAATTATTTCTTTAGATATCTAACTTTTTGCTTGTGGCCTAAAAGCGACAATGTTTAGACCACTTCTTAAGTTGTTGTTGTTGTTGTTAATTTATTATTATCATTATTACTTTATATATATGGATGTTTTGCCTGCATATATATCTGTCACCGTGTGCCTGGCTGGTGACTATGGACCACAGAATCAGGTATCCAATCCCTGGGAACTGAAGTTACAAAGGGCTGTGAGCCATCTTGCAGGTATTGCAATTGAATCTGGATGCTCCACAAGAGGATCCAGTGCTATTCACTGCTAAGCCATTTCTCCAGCTCCTGTTGAGATCATCTTTTATGTAGGTAGTGTTTTATTGCTCAATCATTATTCACTAAATTCTTACTGTTTAATGTCCTGGAATGTGTTGGACATGAACAAATGTTCCAGTGATGGTCATACACGGATATTGCCTAAGGTGAATCCTGTAGAGTGAGAACAGCAAAGTGCAGAGATGTGGAGGTGGGGTCAAGAGAGGCAGAGAAGGGTTGGATAGAAGGAGCCGCTGTCCTTACAATAACTTGAGTACATGAACAACTTGACTATAGTTGCCTGTCATCATTTACTGTAAAAAAAAAAAAAAAACCCTCCTCTTTAAGACCTCGTACTTCTCTCCTTAATGCACTGAGGAAACAAAGCACCCTCTGGTTCTACTGTCCATCTCTGAGACTTTTTGGTGCTTCTGTCTTATATTCTTCCTACATTCATAGCACAATTGCCCTTTGTTTTGCAAAGGATTTATTTCCAGAATCTCCACTAACATCATCTGTGTGATTTCCCTGTTTATTCTTTGTAATGTTACCAATTTCAATATTTAATCTTCTTAAACAATCCTCTGTTTCCTAAAGTTCTCATTTTAAATAAAAGCCTGACACTCTTTATCCCAGGACAGCTTCTCCACTGACATCTGAATGTAAATTCTTTCAGAAGCTTGAGGACACTACTGTCATTTAGGACTTTGATTCTTAAATATTTCCTAGGCAACTTTCTTTGGTAAGGATAATGTCTCCAACTTCCTGTTTTATTTCAGGGCACTCCCTACAATGACCCTTTATTAACAGAGTTCTCACCTTTCTCTTCAGCTGCTCCTGTGTTTTCTCTGCTTTCTCTGGGACCCACAGACACTCGAGCACTCCACTTTGGTTGAAATCGCTCAAAGACAGGCTGGTAAAATGAGCACTGGTTAGGAGCTGCCCAGATTTCTTAAGCACACTCCAGGAAAATATTACAATTTCCTTTCTCAAAATCAATTGTATATAAATAAAAGTTGAATGCACAGAAAACCAAAACAAAAATTGAAAACATATCTTTACATACGCTCTCTAAACACACCTATATTTTCTTTCACTTATTGAAGTCCAAAGGAGACGTGACTATAGTCTACACTGTGCATCCTTGAACAAGTTAACTTCAGAATGTCTCACTGGTATTTGCAATAATCACAACCACAGTTTTGAAAAACCTTATTCTCCTCTTGCTATTACAGGATGAGACACAGAGATGATTTGCATGGACAGAAACACTTTGTGCTGCAAAGCAAGAAACACACACACACACACACAAAAAAAAAAAAAAAAAAAAAAAAAAAAAAAAAAACAGACTTTCTGCCTGTCCTCTTGGGACTGCCATGATCACTGTTATGCAATTAAAGCTCTAAAGATATGAGCTAAAATTTTAATGATAAAAGATCTGATTGCATACACAGATCAAGTCATATGGAAAACTTCCTCAGTTTACCAGTTAGATAAAAGCTTGTGAAAATTACATATCCCATGCAAGTTTTAAAAATTAAGACAGAATAATGAAAACTATATGAAGCATAAATAAGAGCTTGAGTTTAAGAACTTTTAAAAATTAAGGCCCAGTACTGAGGGCCACATTTGTGTCCATGTGCCATAAGAATACAAATGATTGGTGGCAATTTCCTTTCTTGATATTTTGAACAAGTGTGAGCCCAAACTTGAAATCTCCACTTCATTCCCCTTGTCCTTTGTCTGTGTGTAGTTTGCTATGGTTCTGTCTGTTGACTCAGTTCTATGTGCCTGGTCTATCTGGTCTCTGCCTGTGACTGTGTGTGTCTACATCAGTGTCTGTCCCTAACAAGAGGCTTTGCTCTATATTTATCGTAACAGTACAGAAAACTCGGGAAAGGGACAAGGCCATTTTTACAGAAATATTTAATAGAGTTTTAAAGGGAATCACCTCATCAACCTTGAATTCACTCAAAACTGCAAACAGCTCTTAGCAGCTATATCCATATATTGCTTCTAGTATTTATATGATATATATTGCTTAAGGTTACTGTCAACATGTCGGCTGCTCTCACCAAATAATTGCCACAACACATATGTAGTGAGATAGTCCTTCTGTGGCACTGACCACGCCCATTGGGGGGTGGAGCAATGGGCAGAAGTGACCTGTGGAAGGAGGTCGGAGAGGGAGCTGGGAAAAGCTCTCTTGCTGGCGTGACTCGGACAGGAGAGCATCGGGTGGAATTTCCTGGTGTTCATCTATCTAGGTTGTAATTTATTTCTCCCTGAATAAATATCTATTCGGCCTATTTATTTATCCTGATCCTTATTTAACCGCGATATCTGGTGTCAGAAGTGGGATTAGGATTTTCAGGGGACCTGGGTTTCACCCAGGCTGCAGACGACGGGCGGGAAAACCCATACTCCTTACAAATGGTGCCTACGTGGTTAATAAGAACTTCCACTTAAAATTTAACAAAAGCTTTAAAAAGGGTTTTAAAAACAAAATAACAGTGACAAGCAAGGTTGCTTGGTAGCAGCATTTTTCTTGGTTGGACTCTGCTTTGCCAGAGACAAGCAGATATTCGCACGGCTCCTTTAAGGGAAGGTTCCTGACTCAGCATAAGTGGCAAAAAACTGCACAGCTTTTAAAAAAGCACTGCTAACAATTTATTGGTGTGTATCAGAGCTGGCAATGGCAGTGACCACAGCTCTCATTGCTGGCGGTAAAATAGCCGCCGCCATCTTTGGTAAACCAGGCAAGAACAACTATGACTTTCATTTCAGCAATGTTGTTGTTTACCACAACATTGGACTCGTGGCTACAAAAAGATAAAGATTTACAATAAAGACAGATTTACATTAAGAAAAAGTGCTAAAGGTTTACAGTATGTTCTAAAATATATGTAGGCTTGGAAGAAAAAGAAAAAAATGGGACAAAGAAAAGACAAAGAAACACTGGGTGTTAAAAAAACAAAGAAAAACTGGGTGTGGAGGCACACACCTTTAATCTCAGATCTTGAGAGACAGAGGCCAGAAGATCTCTTGTGATTTCAAAGTAAACCTGGTGTGCAGAGTAAATTCCAGGACTGATAAGAGTTACACAGTGAAACCCTGTCTCAAAAAAATAGAAAAGAAACAGAATAATAAAAAAGCCACAGATGGAGAGAATCTGGACACTGTACAGTATTATATTGTCTTTGTTTTGTTTGACTGCTAAGAAAACAACAACTGTTAAAGGAAATGCTGCTGGATTAATTCAATTTATATATTTTAAAAATGCTTTGACTCAAAAATTTAAGTTAAGGACAAGTTACTGGGGAAAAGGATTTCTATTTTTGTTTCCACAAAAAATAAAAAGCTGTGGATTCCTTCCAGATTAATGTGGTTTGAGCAAGCCAGACCCCCTGAAACAGCATTCCTGGTGAGCCATCATTCAAAACAGCTTAAACAAGGCTACAGCCAGGATTTCTTCATCCTCTTAGGATTCCCCCATGACAGCGCCCCCATCAGCAGAAAGTAGTTTGGAAAGAATGATGCCCAAATTCCCAAATATTGTTTATAAATGTTTGTTTTCATTTAAATGGACTTGGTTATAAATGGTTAATGATCACAACCAATGCTTTTTAAAGGTAAAAAGGGGATTATGGTATAGATAGGAATACTTTGTTTTGGAGTGGATTTTCATTTACTGATACAAATTTAAGTTCAATTTTGTCATATGTATATTTCTCTTGTTTAGGTATTGTGTTTATATAGCTCAATTAAAAATGTAATGTATAATTTTGTGCAGATTATACATAGTTACCTATAATAGTCAAAACTTATAGTTAAGTTAGTTAGGTTTTCTGGATATGCAGAGATGTATTTGAGATGGGTAGGAATTCTTCAAACCTTTCAAAGACCTTACAGAATATGGCATTTAAAAAGGCTTAGGGTTTTTCTTGACAATGAGACATAGTTGCTCCTGGCAACACCACCTTTGTCAAAAAGGAAGATGGACATTGAAGAAACTTGTTATGGAGTTTACTTCCAATATGGCAAGACTAGCCATTTGAACAACATACTGCTCTTGTCTGGACTGTTTGACTTTATGCTGTATAAACTGAACATGCAGGACCCACAGAAAAGTGACTGCTCATTCAAGATGGACATTGCTACAGAGTTCCTGCTTCATGGAAGGGTCTGCCAGACAGTTTGCAGGACACAGAGAAAAGTGACTGACAAACTGCCAATACAAAAAGACAGTTTAAAGTTTCCTACTTTGCTGAAGAGTCTGCCAGACACACTATGGCCTATGGGCTGAAGATGGAAGATTACAAAAGAACTTCGGGTGACCAGGCAGTGAGTTGTCTCTGTCATTTCTAGAGTTTATATACTGTCCTTCTGTGGTCTTTGAAGGAGTTGAAGACAGATAGTTATGGTTATAGTTTTCCTTAGTTAGGCTTAAAGATAAATTACATATAGGACTTTAGACTCACAAATATAGGATAGATGATAAAATAGTTTCTTTTAATCTTGCTAAATGTTAATGGACTAAATATTGTTAACTGTGATTCTTATTTGATAACTATTGTGTTATATATTTTGCCATGTTAAGGTTAAAACCCTTCTTTTATTTTAGACAGAAAAGAGGAGATGATGGGAGATGTCATTCTTTATATGTTTCTCATACTGGTTAATGAATAAAGCACTGATGGTCAATAGGAAAGGAAGATAGGAGGGACTAGGAGACAAGGAGGAAATGGGAAGTGTAAGGAGGAGTCAAGATGGAGAGTCTGGAGAACCACCAGCTGCCTCTCGCTGGTAAGACCAGTGGAAATATTAGATTAACAGAAATGGGTTAATACTTAAGACAGAGCTAGCTGATAAGAAACTAGTACTGGACCAATAGCATTGTATGAAATACAGAGTCTCTGTGCATTATTTGGGGCTGGCGCAATAGCAGGACAAGACTGGCGGCGGGAGGAAAAACCCTACTCATTACACACATACATTATTCCGTCTAGGGAAATGGAATACTATATAGCTTAACACTGATGACCTGTGCATTTGGCTCAGGTTATAAAGCTGACTGCATGGGAAATCCAAAGCACAGTGAGGGGTTGGTTAAATTGTTCTCTTAAAGTCCAATTAAGCTTAAACAAGCTGAGTACATAGTAGGATACTAGGCTAAGTACATGGTCATAAATGATCACAAGGCATATTAACTTGTCTGCAAGGCCCATCCATAGTTCAGGATATCTCAAAATATCCAGAGATATTTTGAGAAAAAGGTGCCACCAAAGAATCCTATATTTATATATCCTCCTGTTAGAATTTTCAGTCATTGGGAATGATCATCATAACATTAATCAGGCTCAGGAAGGTTCATACTTTAAAGCACTTGGACACCAGTTCTATTCTATCTCTGTACTAAGATGTCATAGGAATAAGAAAAGGTTGTGGAAGAAATCCAAGGACAAAGCTGAGGAGGAGTTAGTTGCTATAGATTCTGAAAATGTTTTCATGGCACAGTTTACAAAATACTCTAGAATTGCCTATTATATATTAGACATGATCCCATTGTTCTCTTGCACAGAGTGAATATAACTGCCTCAGCCTCTGTGAAACCTTCACTGGTGACAAGAATCTCAAAGAAAAATGTCCAGTCTTGAGTACCTTCCAGTGCTTTTGGTCACTGTCATTCCATTTTGTCTCTTCCTCCTCCGGCCTCAGTTGTACCATAGCGGCACCTAACAAATACATGTGAGTAGTCAGATATTTTAAAAAGTGAAATAAAACCATGGTCATCTACTTAACTTGTGATTTGAAATGTTGAAAAAAAAAGTACTGAAGAATTGGATTTTTAATTTAACAAAAACCACACACATCATCTTAATATTCATTTAGATATTTTCTGGCTTGGAAAATGTAATTATCTAGAGATTTGTACAACAAATAGACACAGGAGGAGGCATGATACTAAAGTTAAGCACACATGTAGGATGAGTGGTTACAGTAAACAGAAACAAGCACAACTTTGGGAACAGAATTGGTAGGTACACAGAATCTCTTTACAGCCACTATTTGCAACTTTAAAAATCTATGCCATTTTCTTAATTACAACTTCTTATATCTCATTAAATACATGTTGGCAGCATATCTAAAATGCTTTACTACTCTGATGAATGGCTACCTTCTTAGAAAACTTGGCACAAATTATGACATCTTCCAAGTTCTCCTAACATTCTTTAGTTCAACATGTGTGCTTTTCCCTTAGCTACCCAAGAGAGATCCTTTTTTTTTTTCTTCAAATATTTACCTTTGGGGTATTAATTATTTCTCCTGATATCTAACTCTGTTTTCCTTTTCATTAAATTAATTTTTATTTTGCATTCGTATACTGTATTTACATCTCTTTGGGCCCCTCCCATGCCATCCTCACTCCATCCATCTTAACTTCCTGGCCTCCTTTTCTTATTTGTACAAGTGTGTGTGTGTGTGTGTGTGTGTATGTGTGTGTGTGTAAATTTATAAATATAACTTGCAGAGTCTACTCTGTTACAATACCACTTGATACTGGATAAGCAGTTAGAAAACTAATCCCTTGGCAATAAACAATAGCTGTCTAATCAGACTTAAGAGCCTCTCAACCGGTAAGAAACCATGCCTGATACTTTAAACTTAGTCAACTACCTGAAACTAGTGAGGTCCTAACACCTGGAGGCCAATCTACTGCTGTCACTTTCCTAAACCACTAAGATTTCTAACTTCATTATAAACACTTATCCTGACACACGCAGATCAGTGTAGCTCTCACCCTTTATCCAGGAAGTTGTTTTATACAGTAAACAGAGACCATTACAGAAGGTCACAACTGATCAAACTGCAGAGAGCAACTGACTTCGGGAAACCCATGCCATATTGATACAACTATGACACAACCCATACAACCAAGGCTCTGGGAATATGGCAGAAAAAGAGCCCAGAAAGATTTATAATTGTTTTTAAACCTGTCATCATTTTTTAAGCCATGGACTTTAATCTGTGATGCCTAAATATGCCTAAGTGTATGGGGCACTGTCAACCTTGACCATGGTTGATGGGACAATACCCTTAAATAATATTTAGTCTCCTTCTCCTAGCATCTTTTCTTTCAAATAGTTCATCCTCTAGGAGTAGGATATCTTGACAACTTCCTCTCTCCATGCTGGGATTTTTGTGTGGCTCGAACTTGCATGGGTCTCTTGCATGCTGTCATAACCACTGTGAGTTTACATGTATAACTACCCTGCTGTGTTTGGGGGGAAAAATTCACTGTTTTCTTGTATTTATCTACTGCCTCCTGGCTTTTGCAATCTTTCCATTCACTCTTCCTCAAGCTCTGTGAGACTTGAGAGGAAGTGATATGATATACATGTACCTATTGACCAGTTGTGGGTCTCTGTGTCAATTACCACCTACTGCAAGAAAAAGAATGTTTGAGGAGAATTGACAAATACATTAATTTATGTGCCTTGCAATAAGTCATTAGTTGTTGCTTTAACACTATGTTCATTTAGCAAATAATAATTACATTCTCACCAAGGGCCTATTAGTTGTCTAGCCACGGGCTCTTGAGAAAATAATGGTGGCAGGTACAGGCTCAATTTTGTGAATTCAGCCTTAAACCCTGTCACAAAGTGGTTGTTACTCCTGTAACATTCCTGCTCTTATTACATCAGTGGTCATATATTTTCAGGTAGGCCATTGTAGCTCATGGGGTTCACAGCTGGGTAACATCAGTGGTTACCCTTTCTTTATCATAGCACACATAGCATCACCCATCCCTATAAAAGCTGGCCTGTAGGAATGATACTTCTTTTTTAATGCAAACTAGATTTCTCTGTGTTCTTTAACTAAGTATATGTGTACAGGGTCTTACTTATAAAGTAATGGCAATAGCCTATGATGTTTGAGGGCCTTTGTTCCAAAGTTGCTAACAATTGGGTTTTATTTATTCACTGTGTCTAGTAGGGTCACTGTCTCCCTGTCATGGAATACATCCATTTAAACTCTCTCTCTCTCTCTCTCTCTCTCTCTCTCTCTCTCTCTCTCTCTCTCTCTCTCTCTCACCTCTGTGTGTGTGTGTGTGTGTATGTATGTGTGTGTGTGTGTATCTGTGTATGTACGTGTGTATGTGTGAAAGTTTCTACAGCAATAGGTTCCCATTTGACTTATTTAAAGGTCCTTTAGTGTTAGTTTAGTGTTAGTGTCATCCCTGTTACAGAATATCTGTTTCACTATGCAAAGATATGTTGCATTTATTTAACTATGTAAAGAAGTGTTGCACTGGTTTATGTTGTAAAATAATAAACTGTGTAAAGATGTATTGCATTTGTTTAACTATGTAAATATGTTTAATTACCTTTCCAGCCTAAAGCAACAGATTGGCCTAATAAAAAACTGAATAGCCAATAGCAAGGGAGGAGGTATATGTAGACCTCCCTAGCAAGTAAGTAGGAATAGGAATTTAGACAGAAAAGGAGACTACAGGGAGACACCAGGGGCCAGACAGATAGACAAGGAGGAAGCAGGAAAGTAGGACATACAGAATGAAAGGTAAAAAAGCTCTAAGGCAAAATGTAGAAGAATAAAACAGTTCAAATCGAGTTAAAATAGCTAGTGGGACAAGCTGAAGCTAAGGCAGAGCATTCGTTATTAATAGTAAGTCTTTATTCGTGTCTTTATTTGGGAAGTGTTTGGCAGCCCAAAGAAAATTCCAACTACACATACCTGTATTTATTCCTGCACCTTCCCCTCCTATGCTCCAGTCCATTTGACTTTTCTTGTCCTATTATTCCTCATCCCTCCTTTATATCATCTCATTCTATCTCCCCTCCATTTAAAGCCCCTTTATCCATGGAGCTTTACTAATTTGCTATCATCCATGGATATTCCAAGTGAAGTACACATATGTACTTCAAAGTCAGCCTCCACTCATGGAAGAAAATATGTGACAGTTGTCTTTCTGAATCTGTGTTGCCTCATCAGGTTGATTATTTTCAGTTCCATCCATTAGTTTGCATTTTTGTGATTGTGGTTTTTTTTCTCTTTAAAAACCAATTTCATTTTTATTTTATGTATATAGGTGTTTTGTCTGCATAGCAAATATATGCCTCACACCCATAAAAGCAGAAGACGGATTCTGATCACCTGGGATATAGTTGTGAACCACCATGTGGGTGCTGAAAATCTAATCAGAGTCCTTTGGAAGAGCAGTCAATGATCTTAACCACTGAGCCATGTCTCCGACCCTTAATTTTGCTTTTAAGAGCAGAATAAGAATCCATTTTGCTAATGTACCACATTTTCATTAGCCTCTTCCTACTTGGTGGGCATCTCAGCTGTTTCCATTTTCCATTTTCTGGCTATTGTGAATAGAGAGGCAATGAACATGATGAGCAGGTATCTCTGTAAAATACAGTCCTGTGGGTATATACATCATAAGAATGGTATATCTAGATCATGTGATACATATATTTGTAGGTACTGAGGAAGCTCCACCCTGATTTCCATCGTGTTTGTACCAGTTTGTACTTCCACAAGTGAGGGGTAAGTTTTCAGTCTTCCTTCCCACACAGGCAAGCCAACATTTGTTGTTACCTGGGTTTTTGTTTTGTTTTGTATTGTACTGTATTTATTTGGTTTATCTTAACCATTTGACTGGGACATGATGAAGTCACAAAGCAACTTTTTGATTTGCATTTCCCTGATAGTTAAGGATGCTGGAATTTTTAAAAATTATTCTATCCATTTGCATTTAATCTTTTGAGAACTCTCCATCCAGTTACTTGGTCCATTTTTAACCAAATTGTTTGGTTGGCTGTATTTTTAATCTTTAATTTTTTTAAGAATTTCATATGACTACTGTTTTTACATAATTTTCCCCACTCCTCTTCTCCCTCAAATATCCCCCAGATCTCCTATTCACTCTCAAATTCATGTCCTTATTTTTACCATTATCATTTTATATATACACATGTTGTGTATGTATACACACAGACGTGTGTGTGTGTGTGTGTGTGTGTGTGTGTGTGTGTGTGTGTGTGTACATATAATATGGAAAGAAAGAGCCTGGTCAGTCCCTTTAATGTTGCTTGTAAGGATATGTGTTTAAGGCTGAACATTTGTCACTATAGACTACTGGGGGACTGTTCATGAAGAATACTTCTTTGTATGTTATCACTAACCTCCTGTCAGATGTACAACCAGTAAATATTGTTTTCTACGCTGACTCCAGTGAAATGTTATCCTTCAATATGCAGAAGCTCTCTAGCTTCATGTGGTCTCATTGTCAGTTGTTGGCCTTAATCCCCCCATTACTGACATTCTGTTCAGAAAGTTCTTTCCTGTGCCTGTAAGTTTGAGCTCGGTCCTTTTTCCTCTGCCAGATTCAAGGTGCTGAGTCTTTGACAAGGTTGCTCACTTTATTGAGAGAGTAAAGATTTAGTTTCATTTTTCTACATGGAGATAGCCACTTTGGCCAGCACCATTTGTTAAAGATGCTGTCTTTTCCCCAATGTGTAACTTTGACATCTTTGTCAGAAGTCAGATGGTCATAGAGGACTGGGGATTTTTTTATCTGTATCCTCAGTGCTTTTCCATTATTCAGTGTGTCTGGTTTATACCAGTACCATGTTGCTTATATTTCTATACCTCTAGGGTACAACTTGAAGTCAGAGGTGGTGATACCTCCAGCAGAGTTGTTACTGTTAGGGACTGTCCTGGATAATGAGTTCTTTGTGTTGGAAAGGGCTGAATGGGATCAAAATACATTTTACAAAGTTTTTAAAGAATTAATGAGAATTAAAAATAAGATATGCCTTCAAGGCTTTGTCAAGTCCACTGAGGAGCTGTCATGAGCAAGGTATACCCTCATACACTGAGGAAATTTGTGGACAAGAAGTTACCACTCAAGTTAATTGGTGACAGACATGTCCAAGCAATACTGTGAGCTTTGACCTTTTATCAATCATGTGATGACCAGCAGTGTGGAAAACTCAAACAGTGGACACAGACCAACACTAACCCTGTGGCCATATGAAAAAACAACACCTTATTACAGGCCTTGAAATTATTTTGAACAATGGCTATATCTCAGAGGAGATCACATTCCCTCCCCAAACAACCTGTTTTATATAATATTGAATCATGTACATTTTTCATGAGAGACTCTTACAACGCCCACAAAATGTAAAAATAAATCAGAAGGTAAATGACATTTGATTTTTTTTTCATAAATATTTGGTGTCAATTTTCTTTGGTGAAGAGAACTCTTTTTCTTCCTATTTTAACAATTATCCTCATAATGAGGTTTTTTAATTGAAGATATTATTTATTTATCTTATTTTACATATCGATTCCAGTTCCCTCTCCCTCCATCCCTCCCTTTCTCCCACCCTCCCATGCCCCCAAACCATCCTCTCATCCCACCCCCACAAACTCCACAGGTAGGATGATGCCTTTCAGGAGGCATCAACAAAATCTGTCAAGACATTTGGAGTAGGGACTAGGCCCTCCCTCCTGCCTCTAGGTTAAGGGAGAATTCCTCCATGGGGAATGTGCTCCCAAAGTCCTTTTGTGCACCAGGGATACATCCTGGTTCCACTGACCAAGGTCCCTTAGACATCCCAGGCCTTCTAACTGAGACCCATGTTCAGGAGGTCTGAGTCAGTCCAATGCTGGATTCCCAGCTATCAGTCTGGGGGGCCCATTAGCTCCTCCTTGTTCAGGTCAGCTGTCTCTATGGGTTTCTGTAGCCTGGTCTTGTCCTCCCTCTCTGCATCTGGATTCCAGTTCAGCTCAGTGTTTAGCTGTGGGTGTCTGCTTCTGTTTCCATCAGCAACTACATGAAGGCTCTATGATGGTGGATAAGTTAGTCATCAATCTCATTATCAGGGAAGGGCATTTATGGTAGCCTTTCCACTGTTGCTCAAATTGTTAGTTGGGGTCAGTCTTGTAGATCTCTAGACATTTCTCTAAAGTCAGTTTTCTCTTGAAACCTATAATGGCTCCCTCTTTTATGGTCTCTCTCTCTCTCTTTTTTTTTCTCTCTCTCTCTCTCATCTATTCCTCCCCTGACTCAGTCTTCCTAGTCCCATGTGCTTTCCTCTCCTCCCCTAGCTCTCTCTCCACTCACTAGACCCCAATCCCAATATGCTCAGGAGATCTTGTTCCTTTCCCCTTCTGTAAGGGACCTTGTATGAATCTCTTAGAATCCTCCTTGTATCCTAGTTACTCTCTAGTGGTGTTAATTATAGGCTGGGGATCCTTTGATCTATGTCTAAAATCCATATATGAGTGAGTACATATCATGTTCCTCCTTTTGTGACTGGGTTACCTCATTCAGGCTGGTTTCTTCAAGTTCCACCCATTTGCCTGCGAATTTCAAGAATCCATCCCCCCCCCCCGCTGAGTAGTATTCCATTGTGTAAATATGCCACATCTTCTTTATCCATTCTTCAATTGAGGGGCATCTAGGTTGCTTCCAGGTTCTTGTTATTATAAATAATGCTGCTATGAACATAGCTAAGCACATGTCTTTGTTGCATGGATGTGGATCATTTGGGTATATGGCTAAAAGTGGGATTGCCAGGTCCTGTGGTAGACTGATTGCCATTTTCCTGAGGAACTGCAATATTAATCTCCAAAAACGGTTTTTTAATTAACCAAGTTCTCACCTTTCTCTTCAGCTGCTCCTGTGTTTTCTCTACTTTCTTTGGGACCCATAAACACCCGAGCACTCCACTTGGGTTGAAATCGCTCAAAGATGGGCTAATAAAATGAGCATAAGATGAGGAGCTGCACAGAGGTTTCATAACATCTTCCCAGGATACGGCTATTCTGTACTCCCGAATACCTTCTGCTGCTTCTTGTCACTGCCAAACTTTCCTGTTTGCTCTGTCTTTGGCTTCAATTGTATTGTTGTGGCTCCTGGGGGTTACATAAGCATAGTTAAAATCATGCTTAGTTAAAAACAGTAAAATTACCATGAACATCTACTTGACTGGTGGCACAAACATTGAAAACTGAACTAATAAAGAACTTGATTTTTAATTTAACAATCAAATGCTCGCATAAGCTTAATATTCAACTAGCTTGGGAAATGTATGCTGTTATCCAGAGATTCATCTAGCAAATAAATACAACAGGAGGAGGCACTGTGTTGAAATGAAGCATGCACAAGTGGTTCCAGAAAAAGGAACAAATACAGCTTAAGAGACAAAATGTAAAGGTGACCTGGAATCATGTGAACATTACAGACTGTTGCCCTTGATTGTCCTCCAGAGATGGAAAGGAAGTACCTATTGTTGAAAACACATGCACTTCTCACATAGGGCCCAGCCCAGGCATTCCTCTATGCTTTGGGAGCCTCTTAGACAACCCTGAGCAACAGTTCAATAGAGGCTTTCTCATGCCTGATCTTGAGGTTTTTTTTTTTTCAGGAGGCCTTCTGCTCTTACAGAAAGTATTATCAGCCCAGATTATTTATTTGTGTGTGTGTGTATTACACATATGTATGTATGTATTTTTCTTCAGATAGATTATCAATAGTGTGATTTCTTATGGCTGTTTTCAGACATCCTTGCTGTTTTTTTACCCTGGTCCCACTAGCTGGGACTTCTGCATTCACAATCCAAGTCAGACCATTCTTTCCCTGCTATTCCCCTCATTAAAGGATAAAAAGGCCTCAGGCAGACTGAGAAACTCAGACAGGAGAATGACTTGACTGATTCCCATCTGTGGGATGGGAAGAAGTTCCTGGTAAGATCACCACACCAACCTCTATTGGTACCTAACACTTTGAGACTGATGGAGAGCTGACTGCAAGATGGAATCTTCATCCCAACCCTCTTCTGCTCTGTGAAACCCCAAGTAGCCTGTACCATGTGTGCACATGCTCCACTTCCACAGAAAGACTCATGTCCTTCCACTGTTCTGATTAAAGAACATTGTGCTCCTGTGGAAGTTGGTCTGAACTTCCTTTACTCGTACGTGGCCCCTGTCAATTATGATTTAACATTTAGTGCCAAAAGATGGACTGAGTTTGGGGTCCCAAATTCCAGTCTGTCTCTTTTGCTGAATTTTCCTCTCTTCTTTTACCAGTCTACCTTCTTTTCCTGAAACCCATCCCATTGAGAGCACTGCAGCTCTCTGTGTCCATTAGGGTGTAATAGCCATCAGCAGAGACTTGCAGCCTGTGGGTGTTTGGTATGCCATGTAAACTTAAGTTTGGGTCTCCTACCTTCCTCTCTCACTCTCTCTCAACTCCTGTGACCTCCAGAGTCATTCAACACAACAGGGTATCCAACATCCTGGTTCATCCCTCAAAAGACTTTCACCTTCATCTGGACCCTGGGAGTTCTCCAGCTTTCTGCCTCCAGCTGTCAGTGGAACTGGGGATGCCCATTTGAGCCCCTGGTCACTTGCTTCTAGCCAGTTTCTGATTATAAGTAAAGACTTACTACCAGATACTAGTGTCATCCTTACCTTGTCTAAAATAGGGACCAAGATCTGCATCCCTATACATACTTTTGGTTAGCCTGAAAACCAATCTCAAAGTGTCAATACACCTGTCAGCCGAGGTCTGGACCAGATACCAACTGGAAAACACTTTCAGATTTCAATGTTTCACTGACACAGACAGCTTCCTAACACTTGATGGCAAATGATCTGAAACCCTCACCTTCAGGTCTCTTTTCTGTCTCCACTCCTGTCCTTCCCATCACATCCACACTTCAGGTTTTACCAGCTCAAACTTCTAAACCTAATTCCCTAAATTCTCTTTCAGATAAGGACCCCTCCTTATCAAAGCAGAGAAGACTAAGTTATTTCCCTATGCTGCTTAAAGCGAGAAGCTGGCTCCTGAGGGAATTTGGCCTTCCCACTCTAGACTCAAGCACATTTGTCCTCTGAACCCCTGTCCTATGGCTATGAAAAAGATAGCAAAACAGCCCAGTCCTTCCTCTACCCTGGAACTGGGACAGTAACAGCCCTTAGACCGTAAAAGATGTTTCTCAACCTTCCTTAATGCTGCAACCTTTTAACACAGTTCCTCATGTTGTGGTGGCCCCCAACCACATCACTATTTTCATAGCTACTTCATAACTCTAATTTTGCTATTGCTGTGAATGGCAATATAAAAACATGATACTCAGGATATCTGATAAGTGGCCTCTCTCAAGAGGTCACAACTCACAAGTTGAGAATCACTGCCTTAGAGAGTTACTCCCCATAGGCTCTTCATCTCTTTTCCCTTGTCTCTTCTGAAAAAAACCTGGGTGGTGAATACAGCTACTGTATCAGCTGCTTATGGATTTAGCTTTATGAGCTTTATGAAATCTCCTCCCCTCTCTATTTTTGGGTCTAACTACCTAGGCTACAGGCAACATCTCCTCCTACCCCCACAGTAATCTACCTACCTAAAGCATCTTTTTAAAGAAAGGATGTAATGACTCACATTTACAAAATGGTTGTCCCCCAGGGGCTCCTGCCCTGGTGGTGTATGGACTCACTTTAGTATGGCCTGAGTTCACCTTGAGCAGAAAACAACCATGTGATTTTTCTGCCATCTTGGCTGGGGGAACTCATCAAGATGGAAACAACCACATGGCTTGGCCACCTAGATGATTTCATTGAGAAGGCAAATGCCATGTGACTTCACCACAATCTTGGTTAATGTTACCACAAGGCACAAGCCAAATGGTGGCACCTGTAAAACCTAATGGCCCCACTCAGCCCTCTGGAACTACACCCTTTTTTACTAGACTAAAGAGAAAGCATCAAACATCTTAAGTGAAGGGTTTTTTGTAATTTAAAGGTTTAGTTTTGATAGATTTTACATGATGCATTTACTGACTTCTAAGAAGAACACAGAATTCTCACCAGCCATGTGCCCCCCAACACTGACATACTAACAAATGGAGACAACAACTTGAGATGCACAGATCCCAGCGGAGACTCAGAGAGCAAATGACTGAGCTATATGAGCTGCTGCCAGTTTAGAACTCCAATAGTCAGCTTTGCTGCATCTCAGTGCCTCCTTATGAGAGAGAAACAACATAGAGACCCTTGGTAAATTCATTGTTGGGTTAGGCAGAAGCAAAAGCAAACACATGTGAAACAATGTCTCAAGGCAGGGAATGGACATTTATCTCAGTTAAAGGAAAATGGCCCTGGAAATAGCAGGCAGAAATAGCAGGCATGCTCAATATAAGAGAAATCATGCCTAGTACTAGAAACCCAGACAACTACCTGAACTTGCCACCATGTCTTCACTATTCCAGTACAATTTCTAACTAAGTTTTAAATACTTATCCTTGTCCATACAGACAAATATAGCTCTCAGCCCTCACCAAAGAAGCCTGTATTTGTAGTGAACAGGTTGAAACCACAAGTTTCCACAAGTTGAAAACCACAAGTTGTCCAAATACAGAGAATAAATCTTAAGAGGACAGAATAGAAAAATTGAGCATAGAAATTGTGTCTTGGGTTTTTCCTCGGTTCATGCTCTGGGATGCATTGGAAATAAACAAACACGTCACACGTCAGTGATGGACATACACAGGAGCCTTCCTGAATTATGGGTTTAGGAAAGTAGACAGGAAGGAAGCATGGGGATGTGGAAGGCGGGGTGAGAGAAGCAGACAAGTATTGAATGGAAGAAGCCACACTACCTATGACAACAATGTGTGCATGTACAACTGGACATAGCTGCTTATATTTAGTGTGAAAAAAACCTAGCTCCATAAGACCTGGTATTTCCACCCTTGCTGCGTACCAGTAATAAGAAGGGAGGATGCCTAGTGACTCTTCATTCTACTCTTAGTCTCTTAGATTAGACCTTTGATGCTTCTGTCTTATATTTTTCCTATATTTCTAATACAACTGACTCATTTCCCTTTATTTACTGCCTATAATTCCTCCTATTTCAGTCTTTGTTCTTTCTTCCTAAACACTCTTCCATTTCGTCAAATTTCTCATTTTAAACAAAATCTCTGGTAGTTTTAATCCCACTTTAGCTCCCTCACCAACACTCACAAAGTAACCTCCTTTAGAGACTTAAGAAATAAAGATTAATGTCGAGATTCAAGATGGAGAACAGAGAGAGTAGAACGCCGGCCCCTCTCTCCTGTAAGATAAGACCACGTAGAAATACTTAGATTAATAGAAATGGGTTAATATTTAAAACAGAGCCAGCAAATAAGAAATACTAGTAACTGGCCAACAGACTTAACATCTAATACAGCGTCTCTGTGTGTTATTTGGGGCTGGTACGGTGGTGGGACCAGATGGATAGAGAAAAACCACTCATAACATAATGGCACCTGCAACCTGGCTAATAGGAACTGCCACTTAAAACTTAAGAAAAGGTTTTAGAAACAAAAGAACAAAGACAAGCAAGGCTTCTTGGTAGCAACATTTTCCTCAGTTGGACTCTGTTTTGCTAGAGACAAGCAGAGACTTGCGCGGTTCCTTTAAGGGAGGTTTCCTGGCTCAGCATAAGCAGCAAAAAACTGAACGGCTTTTAAAGAGGTCTGCTAACAACTGATTGGTGTGTACAAGAACTGGCAATGGCAGTGACCACATCTCCAAGCCGGCAACATGCTGCTGGATGGCAGTGTAGACCAAGGCAGTGAGCACAGCTCTCAATTCTGGTGGTAAAGGTACCAGCCGCCATCTTTGATAGACCGCAGCTAATACAGCTGTTGCTTTCACTTTAGCAATGTTGTTGTTTACCAGATAAAGACTCGTGGCCACAAAAAGATTCAGATTAAGAAAATCCTCTAAAGGTTTACAGCGTGTTTTAAAATATACTTAGGCTGAAGATAAAACATTACAGAAGAACTTCAGGTGACTGGTCAGGTATCAAGATGTCTCTGTCATTTCTAGAGTTTATATATTATCCTTCTGTGGTCTTTGAAGGAGTTGAAAACAGATAGTTATGGTTATAGTTTTCCTTAGTTAGGATTAAAGATACGTTACATATAGGACTTTAGACTCAACAATGATAGGGTAGATGATGGAATATTTTCTTTAAATCTTACTAAATGTTAATGGACTAAATATTGTTAATTGTGGTTCTTATTTGATAACTGTTTTGTTATATATTTTGCTATGTTAAGGTTAAAACCCTTCTTTTTATTTTAGACAGAAAAGAGGAGATGATGGAAGATGTCATTCTGTAAATATGTTTCTTGTACTAGTTAATGAATAAAGCACTGTTGGCCAATAGGAAAGCAAGATAGGCAGGACTAGGAGACTAGGAAGAGAGAAAAAGAAGGAGGGAGGAGATTCAAGATGGAGGACAGAAAGAGTAGAATGCTGGCCTCTCTCTCCGGTAAGATAAGACCACGTGGAAATACTTAGATTAATAAAAATGGGTTAATATTTAAGACAGAGCAAGCAAGTAAGAAATACTAACTGGCCAACAGAATTACATCTAAAAAAAAAAAGAGATTAATGTCATTTAGTATTATACTATTTCCTCCAAATTAGCAAACATGTTGAGAGAAGCATGTCTTCATCTTCCTGTTGTAACAGATACCACTTCAAATGACTTTTTATTAACCGAGTTCTCACCTTTCTCTTCAGCTGCTCCTGTGTTTTCTCCACTTTCTTCAGGACCCATAAACACCCGAGCACTCCACTTGGGTTGAAATCTCCCAAAGATGGGCTGACAAAATGAGCATAGGTAAGGAGCTGCACAGAGGTTTCCTAACATCTTCCCAAGACACAGCTAGCAGTCATATCAAATGCGACTGGATATAAATAAAGAATGCATTGCAGGAAAAAAAACATATATGATGAGATTCTTACATATACTTTCTACATCACATCTGCACTTTCCATCATAGGGTAACTGACCACAGAAGACCAGAGGAGACATCAGCATAGGCACAAGAGTCTACATTGGGTATCTTTAAACAAGAGGTTAATGTAAGAATGCATGACTAGTACATGATCATCACATGACCACCAATGTTTAAACAAATCTTATTCTCTGGCTGTGACAGGTTGGGACATTGAGATTTACATAGACAGAAACATTTTCTGTCAAAGGAAGAAATGTAGAAAGAAGTGCACTTTTATGATGTAAGCTGTTGAGAATAAACAGAATACTGTTATAGTTAGTCTTCTTGGAATTAAAGCCTTAAACACACTGGATAAGTTTTTCATTGAGAACAGCCTGGCTACTCAGAGAGATCAGGTCAAGTTTGAAAACCTTCTTTATCTTACAGTTAAGTAAAAGCATGAAAATATTAAACATGTCAGGTTTCCCTATTGAGAGAACTCTAAAAGGTGTATAAAGATTAAAAAGGAATGATACGTAAGAACTTCATGCATATACATGATGAGCATATGCAACCAAATCATATGAGCATGTTCATGCCTAGAGAATTTATTTAAAAGATGGCATGGGTAACCATTTACAAAGCTGGCTTTTGTAGTGACAACACAATATTGAGATGTCCCAAATCACCTCTAAATCACCACAAAAGAAAGCATTGTAAGTGTGTCCAGTGTTGTGCCAAAGCAAAGAGACATATAATATAGAAGACTTATCTGCCTCCATGCAGTCACAGGCACACTGTGCTATCCCCAAACCCCATCCCTCTCCTTGTGGTCATGGGCAAGGTCCCTAAGAATCATTTCATTACTATGACAGTGCTGATGACCTCCCATTTGCTTTTCTATGTTAGGACTATTTTTTCTTTCCTATATAGTTTTATTATATATAATACATTTATAATTTTTAAGTACCAAGAGTATTTGACAGGGTGATAATAGTTCTATCTCCATTCTTCACATCGTTTTAATTTTAATTTCTGAGACCATCCTCTAGCTTCAGCTTCCTAAGCACTAAGGTCATAGGTTATGCACTGACCTTTCCATGGTCCCTTAATCTCAGCCTCATTGCTGAATGCCCATCTCAAAACAAAGTCAATATGCAAAATTGCATCATATTTGCTGATGTTTGTCATTGAATTAACAATAACATTAAAGGTAATTACGTGGAGCATAACACAAAAAGGTCCATTCTAGAAGATAGCATTCTATTTATTTGTTAGTGGGGTCCAATGTACATCCCTGTTCACTCACAAACCTGACATAATGATGGCAGCAAGAGTCCAAAGGAAAATATACGCTTACCCTCTGCTATGATGCTGGTTAGTAGGAAATCTTAGATGAATTTTCAGTCATTGGGAATGATCATCATAGCATTTATCAGGCTCAATAGAAGAATCATTCTTCTACTGTTCATACTTTAAACCACTTAGTCTCCAATTCAATTCTAGTTTATCTCTGTACTAGGTAAGATGTTATAGGAAGGGAACTCCAGCAATAAGAAAAGGTTGTGAAAAAAAAATCCAAGGGTAAGTCTAAAGAATAGTTAGTTGCTATAGCTTCTGAAAATATTATACATGGCACTGTTAACAAAAGGTTCTAAAATTAGATATTAGACATGATCCCAATTTTCTCTATGACAGTATGACTTATAATGCCTCAGCCTGTGTTAAGCATTCACCAATGAGAAGAATCTTAAAGAAAAATGCCAAGTCCTGAGTACCTTCCACTGCTTCTTGTTACTGCCAAACCTTCCTGTTTGTTCTGTCTTTGGCCTCAGTTGTACTGTTGTGGCTCCTAAGAGATACATAGTGTAGTTAAAATCAAACATAAAAATAGTGGAACAACCATCACCATCTACTCAACTGACAATACAAATGCTGAAAAAGTAAACAAAAAAAGAGTAGGGTTTTTAACTTAACAATGAAATGGTTAGAGTCACCTTAATATTCAAGTAGGTATTTACTGGCTTGAAAAATGAATACGATTATTTAGAGAGTCATACATTAAATAGACACATGGGGAAAGGCACCATGTTACAGTTAATCACACATGTTAAAGATGCATATACAAGTGATTGCACACAAACTAGCACAACTCTGAAAACTGAATTGGTTGGTGTGGTGGTTTTAAGGAAAATAGCCCCCAAAGTGAGTGGCATTATTAGGAGGTGTGGCTTTGTTAAAGGAAGTCTGTCTCTGTTGGGGTGGGCTTTAAGGTCTCTTTTGCTCAAGCAACCTTCAGTGTGATAGTTTCCTGCAAGATGTTGGACTCTCAGTTTCTCTTGTACACCACCATGTTCCCTACCATGATAATAATGGACTGAATCTCTGAAACTGTAAGCAAGCCTCTCCATTACATGTTTTCTTTATAAGAGTTGCTGTGGTCATGGTGTTTCTTCACAGCAATAAAAACCCTAAGACAGTTGGCCATGCTCTATTCTCCACCTAAGGAGAGGAATGTTTCTAGACATTTTCTTAATTGAATTATGTCTTACACTTCTTATGTCCTTCCTGTGTGGAATGCTTTGCTCTACTTATTGACTAGCCTCTTCCATCTTATAAAATTTCATTATATCTGAATTTTTCCTGGATAATAGTTCTCATTCTCCAGGTCAGCATGAACACTTTTCTTTTAACTACCTTAAAAGTTTGTTCATTTTTCAAAAATTCCATTTTCATTGGAGTTGTCAATTATTTCCTTGTTCTTAGTCTACTGATGGCAATGTTTAAATTGTCTTTTGTATAATTAGTACCATACTTATTTTACTAAATAATTATTTCTTGGGGTTTACTAGGCTCGTATATGTGCTGGGATTGGGAGGATGAAGTGTAATATGTCAGTGATGATTATACACAGTTGTTGCCTGAGTTTCTGGAGCTAGAGAAGAGAAAAGCACAAAAGTATATAAGTCGGGGGAAAGAAAGGCAGGGATTTATTGAATGGAGGAATAGCATCACACTACATTAACATATTTACATGTTTCACTGCTCACAGCTGTTTATCTACTGTGAAGAAAACCTACATATATAAGACCAAATATTGTAGCCCAATGTCCTCCCAATAATTAGGCATATAGGACACATGGTGACTTCTAATTTCAGGCTCTTGATTCCTTGGTGCTCTGTATAATAGTAATTCTTCTTGCATTTCTAATATAGCCACCTTCATTTTGTAAAGAACTTAATTGCATGCTCTCCCCTATACATACCTGCATGACTCCTTCTCAGTAACTTTGTCTACTTTAATATTTATCCCTTCTTTTTTAAACACCATCCCATTTCCCAGATTGAGTAAAGGTATCAATACTTCATATCATACATCAGCTTTCTCAGGGACACATGTAACTTTGTCAGGGGCTTGAGAATACATAGATTTCTGTCATGTAAGACTAATTCGTGAACACTGGCTGGGCAATTGTCCTTGGTGAAGAGAGTAGCTTCATCTTCATGTTTTAACAGGCATTCCTTACACTGTCTATTAATAGAATTCTTACCTCTCTCTTCAGCCGCTCCTGTATTTTTCACATGCTTTTCAGGATTTACAGACACTCGAGCATTCCGTTTCAGTTGAAATTGCTCAAAAATAGGCTGTTAAAATTAGGATCAGTAAGGACTTGCACAGAGACTTCCTAACTACTCTTCAAGAACATCACAATATCCTTTCTTAAAATTAACTATATATAAGTAAAAGAAGCATGTCCTAAAAAAAATAAACATAGATACGTTGATAGACAGATGATACATAGATACATAGATACATAAATGGTAGATAGAGAAACAATAGATACATATAGAGGATCCTCATATATATTTTCTAAGACTCATCTCTATTTCTTCATACAATGACTGAGCACAGAAGTCCAATGATTTATATTTTTACTTTGCAAACAATTGGAATTTAAGCAATGATGAAAAGGTTATACAACAAATCCAAGGATAAGGTTTAGGTGTTGGTTGCTGTAGATTCTCAATCCATATATATTACACAACTCAAGAGGAAGAAGAATGCTGAAATTAAACATTAGATGATGGTCTCATTTTTATTTAGGGCTGTGCAGTATAGGACACCCGCCCCCTTCCCCAATGGGAAGGATCTTAATGTGAAAATGCAAATTCCTGAGTACCTTCCACTGCTTCTTGTTACTACTGCACCATCCTGTCTGTTCTTCCTCCGACATCAGTTGTACAGTTTTGGCTCCTGAAAAGCACATATATGTAAAGTTAACCAAGGAAGCAGTGAAATAAACACTGTCAGTTACAAAACCACAGACACAAAAAATTCAAAAATGAACAATTAAAGGTTGGGTTTTTAATTTTGCAACAAAAATTTTAATTAATCTTGATATATATATAAAAATATATGCACCTATTTTTCCAATAAACAGAAATGAACACATCTTCAGTAACAAAATTATCATTATGAATCCCACATACACATAATGCTCATTCTTCTGTATTTGCTAAAGTAACACACTGAATATCATCTATGTATATTCTTGGCCTGGTTACACCTCATTTATGCAGTGTTTGTGTCTACTGATTCAACCAATTTTTCCCTACCTCCACAGAAGTTAAACATCCCTAGATTCTATTTCTTTTTCCCTACATATGCACATGTTGCTTTCCTCACAGCATCCCTAACACTTCATTCATTTTTCAAAGATTTTTCTTCCCGTTTGAAGTGCAAATTATTTATTCACATACCTAAAAATTTTATTGCCAGTCTAGAGGTGACAATATTTTTTTAAGATTTTCTAAAATTATCATTTTACTTGTTTTTAGATGGAATTATTTATTAAATCTTACTGGTTTCTGGCCCTGGAATTTAAAGGGGTAAGCAACTATTGCAGCAATGCCTTTACACAAGAATTGCTTGATTTGTCTCTTAACAAGAGGGTGAGTATATAGTGACCAGGATGGTAAAGTAGCATGTGAGGCATACTAAGGGAAACAGAGTTTCAACTTGCAGATATGTCTAAAATTACAGGTAGGGTTGAGGTAGACATCATCATCTCATCAGCAGTGCGTGAGAAGTTGGTAGAGATGGTCAGTGGCTGGAAGGGGGAGGCAATAAGGAATTGGGTCGTTAAGTTTTACTGTACAAGATGTATAAAGTGTTAAGATGCTTGAACACTAACATTTGAAGGAAAGGTTCATTCTCACTTTTGCCACCAAGGCAGATCAACTCAAAATATGAGAAGAATAATATTTTTGAGTGCCCAGAACATTTAACAATACTAGCTAAGAAAAAATACTTAAGAAAAATAATTAAGAGGATAAATATAAAGTTGAACTCCTAAACAACTGGACACTGACACTGCTTTCTTGTGAAACGCGAGATGAACTAAGTGAAATTTTTGAGTGATTTCTGTTTACTTTCACACTTTTCTCCTATCTCCCAGTGTTGGTGAATTTTCATTTAATATTGCTCATGAATGCATGTTTCTTGTAAAAAAAAAAAGCAACTCATTAATAAATTTTATGATGGATTAGTTTCAGTTCACTCCCATTGTACATAAGTGAAGTCTTAGTAGAACCCAAACCCAATTTATGTTGATAAAAATATAATTATATCAAAACCAGAAGAAAAATCATCAAAAAGATATCAATTCAATTATTATATGAATTTGGATTTGTTGTTGTCAGTACTGTACTTTCATGTAATTGAAACTGTTCTAAAATATATACTTAATTTTTGGTTAGGAATCGGTAAGACAATCTTTTTTATTACACTGCAATGCACAAATTCCTGCTGCAGTCTAGATATCATGGTTGACTAGAGCCACTGACTTAAGTAGTACATTACATAAGATATAAATTATATGGATGTTATCCATATACTGTCTCCACAATGAATTCATTTTTACTAGACCACTTATTTATGTTTTTTATTCACATTTCTTATATTTAATCCTTCCACTAAATTAGAGAATTATGTCATAGGGAATAAAGAGCTGGACATTTCAAGTATTCATTCAAAAGTACTTATTTCAGGGAAATAATTATCGATAAATGTACCTGTCATGAATGATTTTTCCTGCCTCGTTGATGAGTCTTCAGTTATCACAGAATCTTGGTTTTCAGTGGCATCCTGCGTGAGTTTGGAACAAGATGTTCAATGACACTTCTATACATCATATTGTAGGAAATTAACAGAACAAAATGTAAACATTTTACCTTTAATTCCGGATATTCAGGAGAAAGGCCTGGAAAACCAAAGACTTGCAATTAACTGCATGTTAATGTGACAAGGTCAATCAAAATTTCATGTAGAATAAGTGTGGAAAAATAATAACCAGAGTTATCATTGGAAATATTTCTTTTAAGACTAGGGTTTATCTTCTCCTCACTTGCTCTGTTACAGTGTTATTAGGAGATAGAGTAAAAATCAAGTACAAAATGAGGTTTTAACCTCAATTAAATGAAACTTTCCAAAGTGAGATTATGATTCACACAGCTGAATAGGAAAGACTCTCCTCATATCGATGCCAGAGTTTCATTCCTAACTGGTGGAGGGAAAGAAGACATTATCTAACCTAGATGTCAGAATGAACAGTAGTGTGACACTGCATATATTGCCAGTCAAACAAATTTGTTTTCTCCATATTATTAATTCAGGAAGGAGAAAACAGTCATAAAATCCAGGGATATACACAAATCAGTGTTTTGTTAAAGATACCTTTCCAATTTGATTAACCTGTATATTGACATTAAAAAATAGTGATGCAAAAATATTTCTCCTTTGCTGGTACATATGGATTATTATGAAGACTACATTTCCTTTTCCACTATGGCTACAATACCCTTCTCCCCACCCCAAGACAGGGTTTCTTTCTATACCTTTGGTTGTGCTGGAATTCACTTTGTACACCAGGCAAGCCTTGAATTCACAGACATCCATCTACCTCTGCCTCCCAAGTGCCGGGATTAAAGGTGCTTTTTTTTTTTTTTTTTTTTTTTTTAAGACCCTACATTTTTAAATAGGTATTTATCATAAGTCTCAGAACCCAAAACATAAGAAGTTTACAGTAATGGAATGGGATTTTCAAATAAAAATAAACTTAATTTTCACAAAATGATTATCACTTAGTAACGAGCTACCAGAGCCAATATAATGTACAATCCTGGTGTGCTTTTTTTCCCCCAAAATTGCATTGGTTTGTTGTATTGTGTGAGTAGCAGATTTGTTTCTAAATTATTTTCTGAGTTATTAGGATCTGATGCCAGAATTTAAAACATGTAGGTTCAGAAAGATAGAGGTAAGTTTTGGAGAAGGAAGTCTTAAATGGCAAAACTATCAGCCTAAAGATAGCCATGATTGACCTGCTGTTTATAGAATCAGGTAGATGCCACATTGTGTAACCTTTATGTGAAGCTCAAAGTTACAAAGTGTAATTCTAAGGTGCATGGATGCCATGTCTGAAGCTTAACTTCCAGCACTAAGACACATCTTCCTACATGGCTCATATTCCCCCATACTCACTAAAATCACTTTATTTTCACAGTCCCTACTCAGATAATAATACTGATTTTTCTTTGTGTACTTCCTACACTCTTGAAAGTCTTCACCTTTATTTCAATTCCTCTAATTCACTTTCTAATATTCATCACCTGAGAAACACCTAGTAATGTAACTCATCTCCAGTGTTACTCTCAATTTGACCTATCAGTTTTTTTCAAATTTGGTGAATTATATAAACTGCTGTCATTTGAACTACTTATCTGTAATCTTATATGTGTGCATGCTCTTACATGGGTGCACGTGTGCTTACAGTTGTACCAACAATTGAATGCACATACATGTGGAGGAAACTTGAGGCATCATCCTCAAGAATGCCATCCACTTCTTTTAAGGCAGAGTCTCTCTTGTCCTGGTGCTCACCAATTAACCTACACTGGCTGGTGAGTGAGCCCCAGGTATCTCCATGCTCCTGCTTTCCTACAAGCATATGTGGCCAGGGGGTTCAGGGGTTCAAACTTATATCCTTACACTTAAAACACAAGAACATGCCCTGAAAATGCAAGGGATTCAAACTCATATGCATACTTAAAATGCAATAACATTACCAACTGAGTATTTCTCCTAGTCCCTCCATTTAAAATATTATAACTTAAATACATAATAGGTTACGTTGGAGGTGGGTAGGAAACTAATTCCTTCTGCTTAAGCAATGACAAGTGGATTTTAAATTTTTTATGGTGTGTGTGTGTACCATACATTGTGAATGTGGAAGATATGCATGTGGTGTGTATGTGTATGTGTGTTGTGAATGTAAGAGATGTGTGGTATGTGTGTGTATGTGTGCATGCTGTGTGTGGATGTGTGGTGTGGATGTGTGGTGTGTATGTGTGTGTGTATGTGTGTGTCTGTGCATGTATATGTGTGTGTGGTGTATGTGTATGTGTGTGTGGTGTATATGTGTGTGTGGTATGTATGTGTATTGTGTGGGTATGTGTGTATGTGTGTGTGTGTGTGATGTATGTGTGTGTGGTGTATGTTTGTGTGTGCATGTGTATATGTGTGTGTATGTGTGTGTGTCTGCGTGTGTGTGTGTGTGTGTGTGTGTGTGTGTGTGTGTGGTATGTGTATGTGTGTTCAGTTAGCACATATGGAGGTCAGAGGTCCCAGTTGCTTCTCGCCTTCCACCTCACTGAGCCAAGGTCTCTCTTTTTCTTTCAGCTGAACAGCACACTAGAGGTCAGCTGGCCTGTAACTACTGGTTGAGTCTCCTGTCTCCCCATCCCATTTCGCAGCAGATGTTCACCACCACTTTGAGTTTTTAAACGAGTTCAGGGAATCAAATTTGGCTTGTCAGGCTTGAGTAGCAATGTTTTTATGCAATAAGAAATCTCCCTCGGCCTCTTGAATGGAAGTTTTAATAAAACAGAGTTCTTACGTTTCTCTTCATCACTGATGACATCTTCTCCTCTTTCATCTTTAGCCGTGGATAAATGTGCAATGCCCCTTGGTTGAGGTTGCTTAAACATATTTTTAAACAGTGTCAACAAGTAGCATAAAGATTGTCCTAATCAAGTTTCAAAAAAACTGAATTTCTATGTTTAAATTAATAGTGTTAAAAATAAAGCTAGAGAACCAAATGATGTACTGAAACTTTGAGCTGTGAAATACTGATTAGCAATAGCCAGTACAAATTTTGAGTCACTAAGATAAAAACTCTTAGAATGAATTAAATTCAGGAGAAATTGCTGTTATATTGCTTAAATTTTTAATTTCTGACAATTCAAATTTGACTGTCTTTAACATATGAAGACATTAAAGGACTTAAAAACAGACAGAAAAAAAATATTTCTTAATTGAAAGAAGTCTAATGATAAAGCTTATTTTATGCCACTGTTGAGTCTAAAACTAATATATTTCCTAGCTATGAAGCTGAGATTAAATATTAAATCACAGCCTATTGATTCTCAATGGAAGTAAAAAAGTAACTTCATGTGATCCATGAGCTCAATATTTGACAGTGGAAAACCTTAAAAAGAGAATTTATTTAAAAATATATGTACCTTTAGATGTTCCCCTTCACAGTCATCAGACCATTCTTGCTCTTCCTCTGATGACAAAAGTACATCGGATTCTAACAGATCCATATAGTTAGTTAAAATAAACTACAAAGACAATTTGATTAAGAATTTATAGCATTATAGGGAGAAAGCTAATAATTCATGATAATCCAAAAATGGATATTCAGTTTTTTAGGAACTTAGATTTAGGCACACCACTGGCGGAAAAATATTTTATCAATATCACACAGCAACAACCTCTGCAACAACAGTGAACTGCCAGCATGGTAGCTACAACCCATGCAACAACAGTGACCTGCCTGCATGGTAGCTACAACCCATGCAACAACAATGACCTGCCTGCATGGTAGCTACAACCCATGCAACAACAGTGACCTGCCTGCATGGTAGCTACAACCCCTGCAACAACAGTGACCTGCCTGCATGGTAGCTACAACCCCTGCAACAACAGTGACCTGCCTGCATGGTAGCTACAACCCCTGCAACAGTGACCTGCCTGCATGGTAGCTACAATCCCTGCAACAACAGTGACCTGCCTGCATGGTAGCTACAACCCATGCAACAACAGTGACCTGCCTGCATGGTAGCTACAATCCCTGCAACAACAGTGACCTGCCTGCATGGTAGCTACAACCCCTGCAACAACAGTGACCTGCCTGCATGGTAGCTACAATCCCTGCAACAACAGTGACCTGCCTGCATGGTAGCTACAACCCCTGCAACAACAGTGACCTGCCTGCATGGTAGCTACAACCCATGCAACAACAGTGACCTGCCTGCATGGTAGCTACAATCCCTGCAACAACAGTGACCTGCCTGCATGGTAGCTACAACCCCTGCAACAACAGTGACCTACCTGCATGGTATGCTGGTACAATAGTGGCACAAACGTTAATGAGAGCAACCAATCACTTCTCAATTGGGTTTGAGGGATACTCCGTGAGATGGAAATGCTAAAGGGTCCAAGAATCTGGGCTTAGATAGGTCATGGGTTTAAGAAAAAACCTATTGGTACTATTCTGCTAAATGAATGTGGCTCAAATTGGTTTGGTTTGGTTTTAGAAATTTAATCCCATAGTTTGAAGTTATTACTACTGAACTGAGAGAAATGGAAGCTGTCAGATGTATCCATTTAAAATTTTGGCCCTTCTGTGAAAAGTCTCCACATCATTCACCTTTTTATTTTTCATTTCTACATTTTGAGTCATATGATATTATATTGCTTTATTGTTTGCATGTCTGCATTCTTTTCCACTGGCCAGGAAATGAGTGACAACTATTAGCAAAGCCTGTGCTTTCTTCTGCCCCTGGTGTGTGTTGATTCATTACCCAGTGGTTATTTGTCCGCCTTCCTTTAGAAAGATGTCTATGTACTTGTCAGTTCAGAGCCCTGGTGGCAACTGAATCACATGACAACTTCAAACAGAGGACCAGAACATCTCACCACAATTGGTATTTTGAACATTGCTCACAACAAACTGCCCTCGAAAGTTGTAAAAGTTCTGATCACTATATAGTAGTCCATATTTCATTACCACAAATTAACCTTTTAGAATCTACAACATTAAAACTTAGTTTATTTTTTCCCTATAAGGTCTCCCAAATTGAAATGGATAAAGTACCATAACCCTTTAAACAGGCTTTTGGCATGTTTTGAACACTGCACATATAAACTCACAGACACTGTGACAGCATGAATTACACAAAAATCCAACAGTGAAAAGTAGACACAAAGTCCCACCCCAGCCAAGAAGCTACTTGCAATTGATAATTGCTGCTATAGGGGAAAAAAATCAGTTTTCACCAAGGGCATGAAGCTGGATACATCAACATCACTCCAGGATAGGCCCCCATGCCCAGAAATAGTTGACCAAAACAAAATGGATTCCACAGTTTTGTTTGTTTGCTTGGTGGTGGTGGTGGTTGCAATGGCAGTGTGTGGGTGGGTGTATCCTTTTTTGTTATGGTTTGGTGGTCTTTGTCTTTGGGGTTTTTGTTTTGTGTTTATGGAGTTTATTTGATTTTTTTTGAGAGAAAGAGAGAGAAGAAAAGAATATGGGTGGGTATGGAGTTGGTGAGACTCAGGAGATTTGGGAAAAGGAAAATAGAATAAAACTAAGATATATGAAAACTTTTAAAAAATTAATGTAGTATTAAATAAATAATTAGGCTTTCATCCAGTTCTGTCATTCCTTAGCACTGCATAAATAATCCTAATGTCCTAATCTTTCTCTTATGTGGCAGCACTAGAAAAAGTATCAACACTGTGTGTGATGAAAATTATTCAAATACGTGGCTGGGTACCATGCTCGGGCCTATTTACTGTAAATCAAAAGCAGACCCATTAGAGAAATGTCTCATTGCTTTAATTCCTAATGGCTTCCCTGAGGTCAAGAAGACAAGGTTCACTGGGAGCAGTTACACAGCATCTGTACAATCAACTCACACTAGATTCTTCCTACATATCTGGAATCACCATTTATTCTCTAAAGGTTTTTCACACCCTTTCCTATATACTCCTCCTTCATTTTCGTCAATGTGATTCCTATACTCATCTCAATTTATTTATTGCACTGATCTACTTTGAATGTGTATGTGTGTGAATGTCTTGTATCATGGAGAGAGTATGGACAACTGCTAAGAGTGTGGACATCAGAGGACAATTGCCAAGAGTCAGTTTTCTTTCCACCACCTGGGTTTCTGGGCCTAACTTGGGTCATCAGTCTTAGCAGCCCGTGCCTTAACTCACTGAGCCATATTTCCAGGCTTTATCTTTCTTAATCTTCACTACTCCCTCTTGTTTCCCCCCAAATCTTCAGATGAAAATACATTATAAGTTAACTCATCGTTTCACTTTCTCAGTGAGATTTTCAATTTGACTTGCTTTTAAAGAAATAAGATATAATTATTGTCACTGAAAATATCCTATTCCTTAATAATTATTTAAGAAGTAATTTTCCTTCACTGGGAAAATAGCTCAATATTCCTTGTAAGCAAGTATGTTGTCAAGTAATGTTTGTAACTAGAGTTCTTACCTTTCCCATCATGTCTTGTGTTTTCATACCTTTGATCTTCAGCCAAAGACAAACTGCTAATGTCCTTTGGTCAAAGTTGTTTAAAGATATAATGTTAAAATTAGTATCAATAGTGCACAGATTTAATAATAATCTCTCAGAAAGTATCTCTATTTTCTATTTCAGAAGTAATTAAATTGAAACCAAAAGAAACATAATTGAAAAACTAAATTTTAATAGATTCTCATACATATTTTAAGCATCATTAATCTTATTAGGTCTCTGGTTATAAAAGCTGACAATGAATTTCAGAAGAGACATGTGCTTAGATATTAGAGAAGCTAATTTTCATAATTAAATAAGGAATTAATTTCAGAATCTTAATTATTTTCATTCCTCACAAAATTACAAAGATTTTTAAATGCACATATAACCAAAGTATGACATGTGTACCAGCCATACTGTGCCATTACTTATGAACAGTTCCAATGACTTCAATATTTTTAACCCTGAAAGAAATATGAAGTTGATTCAAATAAAACTTTGTAGCGGTTACTAAAGTAGTAAATAGAAAGTTGGTTGCAAAAAATGATTGATACAAAATTTTTGTTATGATTAAATATATAAACATTTGCTATTACTGATATGTTTTTACGAGCAAAACCAAGATACAGAACTACAGCAACCCTTTATATAATAAAGAAAAACAAGCTTTCACTAAGCATGGGTAAGGGGCAACCTGCTTATCTGCACTCCATGTTGTCTGTACAATATGAAAATTAAAATAACAATCATGGAGGTAATATTCTGTCTTCCTTTGGGGAAACCCAGGAAGTTACAATTTAAGTAATATATAGACGTGGACCACTGCTTTCTTTGTTCCTTTGTCCTCTTGCTAGAATTTGTCATCGCTCTTTTTTCTGTTTTACTTAGAAGGCAACTTAATCCTCCCATTCATAAAGATAATTTCTGAGCAAGTGTTTCAACTTTCACTCTGATACATACATTGAATACAATACCCATTATTATTCTATCTATTCATATCAACTGTTTCTCAGTGGGGAATTTCACATACAATATTCACTAGCTATTCAGACATTTGTGCTCATAAACTGGAGTGTATAACCACATTTGCTATGTTCAACAGTTTAGTGCTTGATAGTCAATAACTAGAAATTATTCAACATAAAATGTCTGAAGGTAGGTGCAGAAGATAAACTAGAAGAAATAGATTCATCGACCAAAGAAAATCATAAATCCAACAAATCCTTAACACACAATATCCAGGAAATGTGGGACACCATGAAAAGGCCAAACCTAAGAATAATAGGCATAGAAGAAGGTGAGGAAGCCCAGCTCAAAGGTGCTGAAAACATATTCAACAAAATCATCGAGGAAAACTTTCCAAATCTGAAGAAGGACATGCCCATGAAAGTACAAGAAGCATACCGAACCCCAAATAGGCTGGACCAAAGAAAAAAGACACCTCGACATGTAATAATCAAAACAACTAGCATACAGAATAAAGAAAGAATATTAAGAGCAGCGAAGGAAAAAGAACAGGTAACATATAAAGGCAGACCTATCAAAAATTACACCTGACTTCTCCATGGAAACCCTCAAGGCCAGAAGGTCCTGGATAGATGTTCTAAAAGTATTAAGAGAACACGGATGCCAGCCTAGGCTACTATATCCAGCAAAACTCTCAGTCAATATAGATGGAGAGAACAAGATATTCAATGACAAAACCAGATTTTCCCAATATGTGTCTACAAATCCAGCACTACAGAAAGTATTGGAAGGAAAATTCCAACCCAAGGAAGGTAACTACGCCCACAAAAATGTAGGCAACAGATAATCCAACTACACCAGAAACCTAGGGTGAAGCAGAACAAATATATTCACAATACCACTGCCAACAACAAACCTAAATCAAACAAGCATCAACAATCAATGGACCTTACTCACCCTCAACATTAATAGTCTTAACTGACCTATAAAAAGACACAGGCTAACAGAATGGATATGAAGACAGAATCCATCCTTCTGCTGCAATCAAGAAACACATCT